TGAGCGGGTGTTCTTACCATGTGGCAGGGAGCGGGCGTGCTTATCATTTGGCAGTGTGTGGATACAGCGCCGAGCGGGGTCACTTGAGCACAATTGAGCACATGTGCATGCCACCAACAGCGCGAGGCCGCATCACTCCTGACAACCTGCCCGAGACACTGGAGGCAGGCCAAGTGACGCCGCTCAGCACTGCATCCACGCCCACCCGCTCAAGTGACCCCGCTCAGCACTGTATCCACGCCCTGCCAGATGATAAGCGCACCCGCTCAAGTGCACGGTATCCACGCCCTGCCAAATGATAAGACCCGCTTGAAGGACCCCGCTCAGCATTGTATCCATGATCTGCCAAATGATAAGCGCACCCGCTCAAGTGACCCCGCTCAGCACTGCATCCACGCCTCCAAATTCGGCCACTGCGCCGCAATGGATTGCATATTTGGGGGCGTGGCAGTGGTGCCACGCCCGAACAGATAGAAACTTATTTCAGCAACTAGGGCAAGCTGTGCGTGTCGGCCTGCTTTACGGGCGTTGTCACCTTGTTTTTGCTTCAGTCACGCCAGCGGGCCGGGGTGTTGTTTCCTGTCAAATCACGTTTGGGGGGCCCCGGTGTTTCGTGGCTTTGTGTGTGTGTGTCTCGGTGTTGGTGCTCTGTGCGTGCTCTGTCTGGGGGGGGCTGCCGCCCCCCCCAACCCCTCCGCGATTTTTTGACTGCGGTTGCCGCGATCTGCCGCGATTCTTGGACTGCGGCCCGGGGGGGTCCGCTGTTTCTTTTTGTTGAAATGTTTTTTGGAAATTACGCCTGGGGTTCTCGAGGCTTGTTTCTGTTTCAGTCATGCCAGTGGGCCGGGGTGTTGTTTCTTGTGAAATCACGCCTGGGGCCCCGGTTTTCTTCTTGAAATCACGCCTCTGGGCACGCCACCTTGCGGTTTTTTGACCAAATCTGCCGAGAGCCTGTTCGGGATCGTTTTTGCCCTGCATTTGTTGTGTGGGTTCGCGCGTGCGTGTGTGTGCGTGTGTGTGTGTGTGTGTGTGTGTGTGTGTGTGTGTGTGTGTGTGTGTGTGTGTGTGTGTGTGTGTGTGTGTGTGTGTGTGTGTGTGTGTGTGTGTGTGTGTGTGTGTGTGTGTGTGTGTGTGTGTGTGCGCGTGTCTGTTTGTCTATGTGTGCGTGTCTGTATGTCTCGCCGACCAAGCGCGATAGCACCCCCCTGTGTGTGAAAATCACCGGGACCTGCCCAAGCGTGAATATTATTTTATTTTTGTATTTTTTTAGGGACCCCCGGGCATGAATTCAATCAAGAAAACACCGGGCCCCCATGGCGTGATTGCAAACGTGAATTTGAGAAAAAAAAGAAGAAAAAAACGGGACCCCAGGACCTGATTTCCAAGAAAATCACCGGGACGTTCCCAAGCGTGAATTCAAAAGAAAACACCGGGACCCCCGGGTGTGAACTCAAAAAAAATGAAACAACGGGCCCCCTGGGCGTGAATTCAAAAACAACAACACCGGGACCCCCGGGCGTGAATTCAAAAAATAGAAACACCGGGCCCCCCTGGGCGTAAATTCAACAAACACACACCTGGACCCCCGGGCGTGATTTCAAAATATGTGATTCCAAAAAGAAACAAATCCCACTCGGCCTGGCTAGAAAATCGTCACAACTTACTTGACCCATCTCTCGGGAGTTCGAGTCATTCAGGCATTCAGTGATGTATGAGCTTGTTTTGTAATTATATATATATATGGTTAGCTCGTCCGAAAGGCAAAGAGCCCCTGATCGCCATGACCGTTATTCTTAGATGGATCTTGATACGGAAGAGCACATGTTTCTTCGGCAATCGTAGGTCCGGGGCGTAAACCGAGTTCAGAACTGCCTTTGGACCACGTTTGCAGACTTGGAAATCCTGATGCACGAAGCTGAAGCGCACCCTACCCCTGTCCTCAAATCCCTCACACGCAGGCTTTTGTTTCTCATCTTGTGTTTGTTGTGGGAATCTGGGGTTGCTCCGAGTTAGATTCCCTATGTCAAGCCCAATACCAGCCTCCTAACATCAGGGCCTGCATATACTCCTCAAATGCATGGCAACGCATGGCCAACATTGGTTTTGAAGATCCCCACCCCATACGAATTGTAGAGGCCCATGAGACTGAGGGAAGCTTCCTTCCAGGCGAAGAAGGATGCTGCCTTTCCGCTCTCCGCCACTTGGCAGTAAGCCAGTTCGCCACATTTGAGCCTTCAGCGTCCGCAAGAAGATGTTCAAGGCCGAGGGGTGTGTCTCAAAATATCTCAAAATACGAGACCCCCAAATGGTTGGCGTGGCTTGGTTTCCCTTTAAAACACCCCAGAAAAGGGTCGTCAAAACCAAGCGTTAGCTCCCATCCTTTACAGGACCCAAGGCTCAGCATGCGGACACATCCAACGGTTGAGCCATGCTTTCCCAACTTAATTTTAGCGGTTGATTCCCCATTCTTTTCAACCATCGTTCTTTTCAAACACCGACTGTTTCCCCTTGGTTTTTGATGGTTTCCTGAAAAGAAGGATCCCTGGAAAGAATGGGGAAGGTACCCCTAGATTAATGGCACTCACAAAGCCCCCACATCCTGAGAAAAAGAAAAAACAAAGCCTCCCCGGCCGCAATGCTAGGTACTCAGTACGAGCCCCCTTTTTTACTGGACTGCTTTGAGTCAGTTTTGAGCACAGCACGTCAAAAGCTGCAGGATGCCGTCTTCAATGTGAGCCAATCCGAGCCATTTTCAACCCATCACAGCACTCACCAGCAAGCATTGGACAAGCGTGCATTTGTTGTTGACCAGCAACACAACCGCAGCTACGACCAAGACAGACTGCAACTGCAAGTGGAGAAGGCACTGCAACTACCCGAAGACCATGACTTGACATGAACCAAAAGTGTAAGGGCAAATTCTCGAAGAGTTGGCTTTGCAGATTTGCTGCGATTCTTTGTGCCGCTTCCACAATCGCCACTTCTTCGGTGCATTTTGCTTAGATGTCAGAACTTTAACGTTTTGCCCACGAATGGGTTTTCCATTAAACCACAGTTAAACCTTTAGCAGGGGAGCAGAAAGCAGCCGAGTACTAATACAGCTGCCTCGCTTTCCTAGGAGCTGCTGAAGGCCTTCTGCAGCACCGAGCGTTTGGTACAGAAGGCAAGCGCAGAAAGTCTGAGGCAAAAACGCCGTCCAGCACCGGCTTTGCCCTCTTTCGGTTTTTGAAGGGCCGCCGAAAGCATCCCCCTGTTTTACCACGTGCCCATTTGGGAACATGTAGTGTATGACCGACACTACGGCGATTTGCGTTTGAGTTAGTACCAACAGCATGTTTTTGACACTACGGCGATTTGCGTTTGAGTTAGTAACTAAAAACCTATTTTTACAAGACCAGTGGTAGCGTCAATGCATATTGCGCAGTGCGATGTGCTGCGTGGGAGGTTTGGAGCTGGGTGTCCGCCGAGTGCCTGCATGACTCTGCGTGGTTGCCATGGTTTTCGTTGTCATTTGTGCGTGTCTATGCGTTAGCATCTTTGTCATTGTGTTGGCTCAATCGTTGCGTGTATGGCTTTGGAGTTGTCGAGACGTTGCATGTGTGTCTTGGTGTTTGTCGGATCGTTGCGTGGCTGTTTTTGTGTTTATCGAGACGTTGTATGTGTGTCTTGGTGTTTGTCGAGTCGTTGCGTGGCTGTTTTGATGTTTATCGAGACGTTGTATGTGTGTTTTGGTGTTTGTTGAGTCGTTGCGTGTCTGCTTTGGTGTTTGCCGGGTCGTTGTGTTTCTGTGTCTTTGTTTGTGTCTCTTTGCCACTGTGTCTCTGGGTTTCAGTGTTTGTTTCTGCGTATCTACGCCTTTTGTTTGTGTCTTCCCGTGTCTCTGTGTTTTTGTGACTCTATGGCTCTCTCACTCTCTGCCTATCTGTTGTGTGTCTCTGTGTCTTTGTGCCTCTGTGTCCTTGTTTGTGCCTGTATTTGTCTCAGTTGTTTGAGTGGCACCCTTTTTCCCTTTTTGTTTGGTGGCTGCTTCACCAAAAGATGGTCTTCCCCGAAGAGGGTTCCCTTTTTTCCCAGGGCCAGAGTTGTGTGATGTGCTGCGACTGGTGGCACTCGGTTTGGCTGGTGCGACTTCGCAGGTCCACAAGAGAACCGGCCTCACTGTGGAGGAGCTGGCGGAAGTTCCCACCCCACCCTCTGGCATTCCCCACCTCTCCGGTGATCAAAGAATCATAGGCTTCCATGTTTCTGTTTTTCTGTTTTTTTTTGTGTTTCCCGGTTGGCGTTAAAGGGAATCGATTTCGCCACTGGAAATATGTTCTCATTTTTTGCAGAGGACGAATCGTTTTGAGGTCCACTCCACACCACTCCACACCACTCCGCTCCGCTATACTCCACTCCACTCCACTCCACTCCACCCCGCTCCGCTCCACTCCACCACTCCCTCCAGACTATGTCACAGTAGCAATGACCTTTCGGGCCCCTAGCGCTGCCAAATTGCCAGCCAATGTAGGACACCTACATGAGCGTGTTTTGGTTGGCTTCAAAGGGAGTTTAGGGGGTGACCCTCCCTCTCTTGGCATGGGTGTGTCCCTTTCTAAACTGAGGGTGCACTTTGTTGATGAATCTAGGGGTTGATTCCCCATTCTTTTCGACCATCGTTCTGTTTTTTCCCAGGGGTTTTGATGGTTTCCTAAAAAGAAGGATCCCTGGAAAGAATGGGGAAGAATGAAAGGGAAACCAACCATAAACCCAGCACCGGGGCTCCCAATCTTTACATCCACTTCCACGCTCCGGGGAGGAGTTGCAGCAGCTGCAGGGGCTGCAGCCGGAGAAGTTGCAGGCGCATTTTTTTTTTCTTTATTGGGGACACATCAAGGTGGACACCTAGGTGGCTGGGGATTTTAGGTCCACCACCTTGGTGGTTCCCGGAATCGAAATACGTAGCCAATTGAGTGTTTCCTGTCAGTTGCGTCGAGGATTTGATTCCTCAATCAACCAACAATCCTCGATGTGGTTGTTGATCTGCTTAGTTGCCCAAAGCCAAAGCCGACCTTTCAACGTTTTGGTTTCCCTGGCTTGGTCCATATGTAGTCAAGGTTCCAAAAGGTCCTTTGGGCAAGTGAGTATGGCTTGCGTTGACGGATAGTCTTCATTCCATTGTGTTTGTTCCCCCTTCGACAAGTCTTGGATAACGTCTAGTGAGACTTGGAGAGAAATAGAGTATGTGCTAGATCACTTCGTCTGCATGCTGTGCCATTCTAAATCTGTATTGTTGGGATTTGAGATTTAATTTGGCACAACTCTTCAAGCAAATGGACGGTATCGTAGTTACTAAAAGTACAGATTAATGATTATGACATAACTATGTTAAAGCATCAAGGCAACAAAAAAACGATGGCAAATGATAGATAGAAAGGAAGCAGGCTGTCCCTTCGTGTGTGCTCCAGAGAGCAGAGATTCCTTTGCGGATCTATGATTGCTTGACAAACATGTCATTTTGGTTTTCTACAGTTCGGCATTATGACGCGACATTACCTGCAACACAAGCCGCTCTTTTTGAGGGAAGCTGCGGTGGGTTTGTTTCTGAAGGATTCAACAACACACCCAGATTGGCTTGTTGCCGGGTGACTAGCTGGTTGAAAGGGGGATGCGTTACGTCTTGGTGGAGATCCCTTTCAAATTTCCCATAGGAGAAATGGCTGCCCGACGACTAAAGCAGAGAACTTAGGGGCATCGCAAGTTGGCACGAGGACCAGCTTCGGATGAAAGACAAGCACCGTGGCCCACTGAAAACTCCCATCAGAACTTCTAGGCCAAGGCTAATCTTGCCAGCCACGTTCGTTGTGAAGATACTGTGGATGGACGAGATCCATTTCGCACCACCTAAGAACCCTGGAATGATTCGATTCCCCAGGAAATTCCAACCAGCAATGGTTGTCATGGTTTCAAAGTGGTGCAGGGTGTCGTCCATCCACAGTATCAGCATGTTTCGGATGGCAACCGAAAGAGAAAATTGCCACGCCAACCGCGCATCCGCAACCTCCGGAGGCAGAGTTCAAGTTCTTCAAGGTTGAGATGAATAGCGTCTCAGCTGGACATGATCAAATAGGTTTGAATGGGCATGCAGGTATAGATTAATGGAAGGCCAACTAACTTTGGGCAAGTGTTTGCTGCTGTTGCAAAGGGTGCTGCGGGCATGTACCCTTTTGCAGCTTACCATGGAACCCAGCAAAATCTCCTTTGGGGGGTGGCCCTCTTGTGGGTTCCATGTTGATTTGTAGGGTTGTAGGGAGGATCGAGACCCTGGCAATCCGGTTTGGGAACTTGGGCCAGGCGCCCAGGGCTGTTTGTGGCTGCCGTTCTGTGCCGCGGATGGCCGAGTCCAGGGGTGAAACGTTCACTTGGGGGTTTCTCTGAAAGCTCCGAGCGAGGAGCGTGTGGAGGATGCCACTTCCATGGATTCCGTTTTTTTTGTTCTTCTTCTGTTTCCTTTTTTGTTTTTCTCGGACTTTCTGTGGGACCAGGGCCAGGGATCGAGTTCCATTTAAAGCCTCCAATGGCGACGGCTCTGATGTCGCTTGGCTCGATGCTCGCATCCCTGCGAAACGTTTCTCACCTCGATGGCCTAAAGAGGCGCGAAAGTTGAAGGGCAGACATGTGGCTGTGGGTGTCAAAACCGTTTTGGGATCCCATTTTGGTTGGAAGGTGAGAATTCACCACCCACGTTTAGGCGGTATTTGGGTGGGGATTGGGATGTTCACTGTACGGGCTGTTGACCCATGGCCATGTATCGATCAAGGGAGAACACGGGATACTTCCCCCTCGCCGCGGTTTCGAAAGCACAAAGAAACCACTTGAAGCGCCTGCGAGTATGGCTCAATCAATTATGCTTCTGGTGCAATCCCATATGCGGAGGCTTTAAACAGTGCTTGCATTTGTTTGGTAGTTTCGTCCTTCCCTTATGATGTGTACCAACCGGGTTACCAACCTGGGGCTCGTTTTGAAGAAAGGTCGTGCCTAGGCGCCATCTCTTTCGATGAGTTCGCCACGTACCTGGCAAGGACGGCTGAAGGGGGGGGTGTTTTTCAGTGGGTCTCCGGTTCAAGGCCTCACTAGACTCTACTAGACTGATCAAGTGGGTGGAAGGTTGAGGCACGGATTTGGATGGTGCTTGGAGAAGGCTATGATCCATGGGCTCAAGTCACATCAAACGGTTTGTGGACCCAATGGGCGGGTTCGACTGCGGCAAAGCTGGTTGCACAACCCTTAGGCTTCTCTACACCGTATCCATGCAAACAGGACTCTTTGTAGTTTGTTCCTTGACCAGCAACGCTTTATTTACGTCTACTTGGTTTCGCCATTTGAATGTATTTACTTCTGCTTGGTTTCGCCATGTGTATGTGTTTGGTCTTTGATTGCCATGTTTAGTATCTTCTCAGTGCATGGTTCTTGCAGTGAGTGCCAAAGCATTTTGTGCTGGGTAGGCCAACGGAGTGCGACTCTGAAAGGAACACCCCATACCCACCATGCTCGCGTCCAGAAGGGATGACTTGTGCATTCCTGGGAACAAAAGATGGCTCTGCTTTCAGGAAAATGTGTCAAGTTCATGGTGCCGGGCCAAATCGAGGATTTGCAGAAAGAAGGGTCCATTGGTTTTGGTTGTTTGCCCTGCAGGTTAGGAACCTCTTTTGGGACCATATTCTGGCTTCCCTGTCAGGTCTCCGGTACCACTGAACCACTGGAAGTCTTATTTTTTGACTGGAACCTGCCGCCATACTCTCCACAAGCTGACGCAGTTTTCCCGAAAGGGGAGCGAAGGGTTCTAGCCCCAAAGGCTTTTCTTGCTTTACAGCACATCTCAATGTTGGCTGCGCAGCGCATCTCAACATAGCCTTGCACAGCTCTGCTATTGCACAGCCTTGCCTGCATAGCGCTTTGGGACATTCAACTTCTGCTAATCCCTTGGGCACTGTCACACACTTCCATGCAGGTTGGTGCCATCATGTTCCATTGCATGACGCAGCTACACCAATCTCGCAGAGCTGCAGGGCCGGACCTGCGCCCCAGAAGCTTGGACATTTTCTGGAAAGGTGCTCTGTGCAGGGGACAATTGGCGCTCCATTTTCTGGGTGATTTGGCGCTTTCCTCCCAGCCTTCACGCAGGATTCATCAACGGGCTTGCGGTTTCAGTGAAGCGGGCGGCAAGTCCCAGGACCGCGGGGCTCCATGGAGTCTTTCTGGAGCTGGTCCCCCAGATAAAAACTGTTCCTTCTTTTTTAGGGGGCCCCCTGCTCGTTTTCGGAAAACCCTGGGAGACAAACAACAAAGTCCTATATTCTCTATGTGGAGAGAGAAGGAGAGACAGGGAAGGAGACAGCCAGGGAGTGGTGACACTTGAGTGGCGGTGCATTTGCTTTTTCCAGACCTGTGTTCTGCTGCTTTTGGTTTGAGGGCATGAAGGGATTCCTATCACAGTGCCAGGTTGGGAGAGATATCGTTTGGTCCTGTTTGACTTCGCTTGGGTGGTTTTTGCCAAGCACGTTTACTAGCAAGCCATGGTTTAGTATTGGCCTGTTCCAAAAGTAGTATTCCCGGATTTGGGAGTCTCAAACATACATTGATTATTGGGGGGACCTTTATTGTTAGGAAGAAGGGATGAGTCATCAGATTTTGGTGTTTGCATGCTGGCATCTATGTGAATCCATTTTCTGAGCTGCGCAATCGCCCTCAAGGAGCCGGACATGCTGAGATTGGAGGCCGGGTTTCATGCAAACATGAGGATGAGTTGGATGAGGACAGGGGACAACGTTGATGGGGTTGCTCAGAGCCAGAGGCCAGAAGGTGCAACAAAAACTAGCGATCTTTTGCGGCCAAGGGAAAGGCCTGGTAGATCCTTTCAAAGGATTTTATGTAGATGTTGTTGTCTTTGGTTTGGTGTTGTTGTTTTTTTTGCTGACCTCGCAACCTTTGCGCCAGTTGGAAAGAAGCAGCAAGCTGCAGAGTCAAGCAGCGCGCTGAGTCAGAAAATCGGACTCGATCATCGCCTTTGGAGGACCGGATCAAAGCTCCTGGGCTCGGAGAGCAAACTTTGAGTGCTGGAGAAAGGCATCGAGCCTCCAACACCAGCGTGCAATTTTGGCTGCTCGTGCACAGAGGTCGGTTTTCGTTACGAGGGGGGGGGGGGGGAGGTCAGCAGGCCTGAAACGGAAAGACCTAGCTATGCAACCTGTGGCCATACGTAAACGCCAACGTGTGTTTGGGGAATGTCCAGCCTTTTCAACCTCCAGCTCTACTACATGCAGAGCATAACTCCAACTCTACCACACTGCGGCAATCTTCGGAACGAACACTTTCCTACAACGCGCTGGTGAGAATAAACGAACCTGCTTGCAACTAGTCCAGGATACACGAGTGCTTGTTTGTGTATATATGTAACAAACTATACATATGAGTATCCGGCAAAACCATCTGTAGTCTTTGGTAGAATTCGGGGCGCCTTGGGTTAGCAAAACCAGCAACAGCCCGCAAAACCCATAGGGCCTTTGCAACCTCACAGCACTGAAAACCGACCCAACTTCTTCTTAGCATTGAAATTTGTAAACTGGTTCGTCCTTCTCCAGATGTGTCCTGTCCTTTTCCGTTCTCCATATTGTTTTTGGAGCTTCCCCTAAAAAGCAGGAGTTTCAGGCTACAAGGTGAGGAGCAGAATCCCGGGGTGACCCCCCAAGGAATCAGAAACCAGGAGTTGTGTGCTGAGTGTTGGGTGTGCAGTTGTTGTTTTCCACCCAAAGCTGGGAGCACAGGACAATGGCAGGACGCATTTGCCAGGCTCAGTGTGTTGCCAATGTCTGGGAGTTTCGGAGATGCGCAAATCAATAACGTTTCCACAATCATGCCCAATGTCCAGGAGTTTTGAGTGTCTTCGGAATGTGCGTTAAGCATTCCTGAGATGGGAAGATGCAGGGACGGAATTTGCGTGCCGCTCATATATAATATATACACATGAAAAGCTGACTCAGCTGAGCCATCCCGTCCAAGATGTGAGCCTGAAGAGAATTCGTGCCGAGGTCGCGATGTTGGAGAAGCAGGCGCCATACCTGGCTTCTCGAAAGTGATTTCTGAACAAATTTTGGTTTGGTCATTCCCTTTACCAACATGCAGGGAATTGTTCTATCTACTTCATCCTAGCGCACATGCAGCTTGCGAAGGATTTCAGAAGGGACACGGGACACCCTCTACGAAGCGGGGCATTTGCTTTTGTCATCCGGGGTTCCAATGCTGCGTTTGCGGAGCCATTGCCAAACAGGCAAACACCATGAGGCCAAGCGGAGGGGCACATGGCAAAAGTAAAGACGCTGTTGTGGCCAAAAGAGGGAATCAACATGACGCCAATGTTTGGAGGGTCGCCGCTTCCTCGTGTTGGCGAAGTAACCCATGCGCAAAGCCAGGTGGCTTCGATTTCGGAGCGCTTCAACATAACGGCGGAGCAGGCGGCAGCGAGTGGGCCAATGTCAGATGTTTGTTCGACCTGCAGAGCCGACAGTCAGAAGCTCACATGAGTACTTCCATTTGCTTGCGAAGATTTCTTATTTTCCCCCGTTGGTTTTGAAGGGAATCTATCACTACTGAAAATATGTTCTTTTCCAGTGGGCTCGAGCAAATGGAAGAGTACACTTCAACATCTCCCTCGCCCCGTGTCGCATAGATTGAACCTGATTCAACAAAACGAGAGCGCAAAGGTCGATGTTTGTGCAACAAACGTCTGCGAAGCCCGGTGAAGCCACTCCGCGAAGCCTTGCGAAGCAAACCTTTCCACGAATGCTGGTCTCGCAGAGCCCCCCAGCAGTGTAAAAGCCCTGAACCACAAGACACCTATGCTCATTAGGGCCTAGGCCGCATGTCCGCAGAGAGACTGAACAACTCTTTACTTTACATTCCCCCAATTTTGAGCCCGAACTGCAGGCCCCAAGACCTTCGCGGTGCACCCGGCGGTGCAACGTAGAGGGATTTTGTGGAGAGCGATAGCGTGGTTGCTTGCGCACCGAGTGGTGCAGCTTTCGGGGCTTTGCAGTGAGGGATCCCCTCAGAGTCGAACTCTCGTTCGACCTGCATCGAACTCTCGTTCCCCGGCTGGTGCGAAAATGGCGACGGCTTCCATGACGGCAGCGGCGGAGGCTTTTCGCGGTACGCGGTACGCTGTCTGACAGTGACTTCCGCCAAGCCATTGCCGGCGCGGAAGTTGGAGCAGGTGGAAGAGAATGCGCCTTACCTTACCCGGAGGATTTGCATGACGTGACCAGCGTGGAAGATGCGGCCACTGAGGCCTAATCCACCATTGTCAATCCGGATTCCTTTGTGCTCAAGACCAAGCCCAGAACCGCGCCGCCGGCCACCTCAGCCGGCGCTGGCGCCGGCTTTCGTGGGAGACCCAGCGCATGACAAGGGCTTGGTCCCTGGAAAGATGTCCTGATTCTCAGCGACGTGTTGCGAGATTGCGTTCGCCTGGAATGTGGTTTTGCAGTATCAGGCGGAGCTGCGCAAGCAGGCCTGCAAGGCGTGCGCGATGGGAGCACCCCTTTTGTCCCTGCACTTACAGGTGTTGAAGGGGGATGAACGCACAAATCCCGCGCAAACATAGAGGGATTTTGCGGAGAGCGCTATTGTTGTTGCTGAGTCTAGGTTGCGCACCCAGCGATGCAGCTGTAGGAGTTTGACCATGAGCTGCTTCCAAAACTCGTAGGCCAGCAGTCTTTCAACACTTGTTCGCTTGATGTTAGACATGGACCACTTCAAGAAAGACATGACCATTGAGGTAGGAGTTGTGTTGACGTCAGCCCAGAGGTCAGGTTCCAGAGCCTCCTGCCTGGTAGACTGACTCTGAAAAATGCTTTGCCTGGAAAAGCCGAGCTTTGATTCTGCTGGAATCATGCCTGGCCAGAGTAGCCGGTGCTCGTCTTCAGCAGTTGCTCTTTTATCCTTAGTGGCTTGCTCTTGGCACAAGTGACTGCTTCAAACAAGTTTTCTCTGATGAATAGGGTGCATAAAAAACAAAATGTGGCAACCTCCAACTAGCGGCGGTTGCATGAGTCCGAAGTTTCTTGTTGCTGTTAGTGCGGAAGATCTGTTGCATCACATCCCGGGTTGCCCAATGCACTTGAGAGGATGGCACCAGGAACACGGCCAGCGACTTGCCATTTCCAAGTCGGAGAACGCCTTAGTGCAGCAGGGGTTGGGAACAACTACCCCTAGGTGCAAATACCCCTTTGGGCGCAACGCAAACTTGTTATCTGCGGAACAAGTGCTTTTTGAGAACGAATCTTCTTGTTCCTCCTCCTCATCATTGTTGCCATGCCGACTCATGGCAGCACAGGTGATGGCTTCTCCAAGCTAGGAACTTTGGAGCTGCGCTGAACCAGAAACATATACTTGTCAAACATCGTGTTTTGAATTGACGACGCGTCTCCACTTTCAGCTGGTAGCCAAATGCCTGCAGAGGCCTCCCGTCAGAATCAAAAATGCGGAACCCTTTATGCAAGGGCTGATTTCTCAGACGACTCTTATTCGGCTCTATTTCCTTGGGGGGTCCCCTCCAGGGGGGGCTGGACAACAAACCCATGATTAACGCAGGGTCCGCAGGGTTGGTTGGACTTGCTTGTGACTTTTGCGCGCACGTGCTCGAACGCGCCGCAGTGAGGGATCTTCTCAGGCTCAAGTGATCAGAGTTTTGCTTGTAGCGCTTGGAGCGGCGTAGGCTGGAACAGTGTGCCTGCGCAGTCCGCGTAGGCCGCGTAGGCTTTTTTGCTTAGGAACTGCCTCCGCGTAGGCTGAAACCTGTAAACATGCATCTCGCGTAGGCTGGCGTAGGCTTCCGCGGAGTTCCCCTTTTGGTGTACCCAAAAACTCTGCTCAAGTGAGGGACCCCCACTTTTTGCCTTCCTCCGCGTTCGGCTCGTCCCCTGGCATGCGTTTGTTGCCCAAGGGTCCCAATGTATATCTCTTGTTGTAGGGTTTAGTTGAAAAGCTGCGCTGCTTTGAGTCACTTGAAGTTATGCCAACCTCTGAAGCCCTTCTCTGGTGGAGCGCCCCTTTTGTTCTTGGGGGGGTTTTGTTGTTGAGGGGACGAGAGGCACCGACAAATTCTCTACCAAGAGAGCCCCTACGACCAACTCACCAGCTGTTTGCACAACGGTGTTGCATCAAGGGTGCGCTGGCAAAACTGTATTGCCTCCCTTCCTCGAGAGTTGTTTGTTGTTACAAGTCTTTGATCTGACCCTGCTAATGTATGAAAAAAGCCGCCAAAGGGTTTCCTAAGTAGGGCATTGATCAACCTTCAGGTGCAGACCAAGCAGGCCGCACTTGCCTCAGCTAGCAGTGGTGGGTCAATTTGGATGGCAGCAGCACTGGTTTCAGTGCACTCGCTCTGGTTTCAGTTTGGTTTGCGCATGTTTGGGCTCAATCACCTGCGCAGTGCCATCTATCCTGATCAGTATGGTCCTCCAGCAAATTCCGAAGTTAACATTCTTCCATTCCTGACATTTTGAAGCATAGCGTGCGACCCCCCAAAAAAAGAGAGAGAAAAGGCCGCTTCCAAAAGAAGCCCATGGCCGTTTGGTAGCAGCTAGTCGTTGCGCGCCCGATTCGCTAAGGTCTGGATCCAATCGCCCTTTTTCAGATGACTGAACGCGGCAAAAGTGGCAGTACATCATTGGAATCCGAACTTCGATCAACTAGCTGACTTGCCAGTCTTCATGACTCCATCGTGTATCCATGATTCGGCGTACCCATATATTTCCAGAAACATGCACACTCCAGGAGGTCCGGCAACTGTGTTGTCTCGTGACCGCAGGTCGAAGCCCTGCAGAAGCAGGCAGGGGCAGTGGGACGACCTCCAGCTTCCCAAAAAAAGTCGAGCCGGATCTGTTTGGAGGGTCCCCAGGGTGTGCCCAGCCCGGGGAAAAGTACCCAAGGTATTGACTTGGATTTGGAGAAACCGAGAAACCCCTCAGCGCCTCAAGGCTTCCACTTGGGTCCTAAGTTCTTACGGCCAAGGTGGGAGAGTTGATATGCCCCTGTGGGATTGTTGTAATATGGTCAGCTGCTTGACGACTCATTTTGTCAACATAGGTCGTCTTTGCTTCTCAAGGGACAAAGTTGCCCTTTGGATTCACCCAGCTGTCAACTTCAATGAAGACTGCACTGCATTCAGAGGTTTGTTGCAGCGCATTCGTTTAATCTAAGGTTCCCGCTCCGTGCTGCCTCAGGAATCCACCAAAACAGTGAGGTGGCACCTTTGTTTGAAAAGTAGGCGAGCACGCTTTTGCAACGGTGCAATTTGCAGAAGCATCGTACTTTCCCAAGGTGTTCTATCTCAGTATGTTCTGTTCAGGTCGAGCTTTCCAGAGATGGGACACGAAACCTTAGTGTACCTTGTACGTAGCGAAAGCAAGATCCTTGATGAATAATGGTTGTCGCACCCTGATTCTCAATATCAATGAAGGCGTGCTATCTCTGGCAGGTACGTTGAACAATGAGAACATGAAGGCATAATGACCACCAAACAGTAGTGCCAGAGAATGACTGGGTGTTGCTCATTACAAGCCTCGTGTGGGGCCCGGGCTAAGTGTCATTCTGCCAGCTGTTTTTGTTTGTTTGTTTTTGTTTTTTCTCTTGCTTCACCTTCGGTCGTTCTCTCGTCTTCACACGTTTTGTTCCAGGAGAGTTTGCATTCCTGGATTGCCATCGCAACAGGCACAAAGCAGACATCCCTGATTACTGCTCGACCTACCTCCTTGTGGCCTGCCTCCGGGTATTATTTGCTGATAGTTGTTTGGTCTACTGTCACCAGCTGGACAAGGTTGTTGTTACTTGGATGGATAATCGGGTATTTTCCGGGGCACACACACACATACAGGCACACACGATAGCAAGAGACTTTGAAAGAATACTGGTGTTTGAATCATGAACAAGAGGAGCTACCATCACTACCACATGTTCATTGAGGTTCATGTGCTTCAGTCTCCGCATTTCTTTGCTCCAAGCTTCGAAGCTCCACGTTGCCCAAGTTAGCCCCCTCGCATCCCGGACGGAAAAAGAATGGGCCCTCGAAAGACCCCGAACCCAAGCCTCAGAAACCCCAAAGCGAATTGACCGGTGGAGCTTCTGATACTCTCCCTTGGTCCATTTTTTGGTCCCCAACGGTTAAGCTTTTACTTCCAGGCCCTGGCAGGCGAGGTAGAGTATGAAACTCCCAGTCGGGAGCAAGGAGTTCTTCACGAGAGCTGCTAAACTTCAGCATCAGTTTGCAACAAAGTTGTGAGTGTGTTGCTTCGGAGAAATCGTACTGCTTTGCCCCCGAATCTCCCCTTAAAAACCAAACTGGTTTGGCACCCTTCAAGCATGCTACAGATGGCAACGTTGTGGCACTTCAGCTTTCTGCTCCCAGATTCATTCAATGCAGGTGTTGTTTCAAGACTTGAAAGCTGAATCTGGGAGTTGTTTTTTTTGTTGTGTGTGTGTGTGTGTTTGACTTGTTTCAAGAGTTGCTTGTAAGAGTCGGTGCGTGCCTCTTGCTTTCCTTGTCCATCTCCATCGGTTCAATGTGAATCCGGCCGTTCTGGCTGCGATGTTTGCATCGACCGTACGCAAGGTTGCGGCCGTTATAGAGAGACTGGACTCTGAGCTGCCAAAGGCGCGAGCATCCTGCTGCCTGGGTTTACCTGTCAGCAAAGGTAAAACCAACCAAATGGGTATGAGCCAAAATTAAACTACCAGGGGAACGCCGGCTTTAGAGCATTGGTTCCATTTGCCAGGGTTCCATTTTTGGTACCCGGTTTTGACCCACAGCCAAATGGGTTTACCGAAAACCCTTGGTATTACAAGCTGTCGGCAGCAACTGTGATTCGCCGTACGTTTGGGATCACCGCGGGGTAGTCTTGTTTGGAGTTGGTAGTTCTTGTTTTTTTTGGGAGGATCCCCTGAAAAAAAGAGACACCCATTGGGTTGGGGCTTTCAGTAGTAGTCGAGGGCCACGCCCAGCAATAAATTGCTTTCATACATACCCCCCACCCTACATTTTTTTTCATCTTCCATCTTCTACCCTTATTTGTTTTCATCATTTTTCTACATTCCTTTCTGTCCATCTCATCCGTTTTTTTATCATCATTTTTCCAAAATTTTCGCCATCCTTTTCTCCTTTCTCCTCGCCTCATTCATTTCACCAACTACCCTCCAAAATGTCATTTCCTCAATCTCCTCACCTCATCCATTTCAAAAAAATAAAGTTTGCAAAATATATTGCAAAAAATATTTGTCATCAAAAAAATATTCGAACTGTCTAAAAACGATTTGTCCATTTCCCGGACAAGAAATAGAACAGCAACAACATCACTCTCCTCCTTCGTTTCATCACTTTTATCATATATTTTTTTGGGGCGTGGTGTCCCTTGTAGGATTTTATCTTCAATATATAAAACGCTATACTGACATTATAATTATAACATATAAGGGTATAAATGTTATTATTATAGTATGATTAATAATTATGGGTTACATTTATAGTCAGGAAAAATGTCTTCAAATATGTAATCTACATATTTATCAATATCGCCAATGTCTATATATTTGATATTGTCTTTTCCTATTATTGAATAAATATATTCCCAGAAAAACAAATTAACTAGTAGCCATACTTGATATTTAGTGTTGTAGTAAGACCATACATGATATTTAGTTATTCTAAATTCATTCAAGACCTCGTTTATTTTATCTTTACTTAATAAATGCCAATCAATCGCATCAAACATGCCTCGAATTTTTTTAACAAATGCTTTATATGGTTTAATTGCGCTTGTCCCTCCAAACCTTTTAATCAAATCTTTATTATTGAAGAACTCATCAATTTCTTTTTCAAATGACTTTCTTGCAATTGTATGGTAAAAACATACAGGACATCGTTTTTGATATCTCATAAAGAATGTCAATTGTAATTGAAACTTTGTATATCCCTTATCCTTATGTTCTTCAACAAGAAACTGTTCAAGGTCTCTTGTTATACAGGATTGACTACAATATACATCATATTCACTTATTTTATTACATAGATTGGCGGGTAATAACTTATACAATGTTATATTAACATCATTCCTTTTAGTTGTACAACATTCGCACTTTGAATAATTAAATAACATTTCCACTGTAATATATATAGTGTTTATTTCTTTAAATACTTTTTTACAAGAAATAAAATTACATATTGAAATATAATTATAACATATAATATTTTACATGTTATTATTATATTATGATTATAATTTCAGTTCAGGATAACTATTTAATTGATATGTTTTACTTCTTTCATACATCATTTTAAAAATAAGATTAATATCTCTCACTGTATTTTTAACATTAAACTTTTCACTTTCAATATGTGATTTAATGATTGTTTTTACATCAAACCCTTCTTTTCTTTGATACTCCAACATCCATAATATGTAGTCAATCATTTCATACTTTTTCTTACTGATTTTCATAAATGCTCTAACATAATCATAAGGTGGTATTTTATACACAGTTAAAAATATCAAAATGTCATCTTCAACATGTCTTTCATTAAACCTTTTAATATCCAAATTACATTCGATTGCTTCTTGGTAATATCTCCAATTTCTACAAATTTTACATAAATTTTCTTTACCCAAAGAATAATCAATAATACTATTAACTATTCCATTAGGTAAATTCAATTTATATAATTCCATATTTTCTTTTTTAAAGTGGCAACAATCGTAGCATTTCTTATTGATATAATTATTGATTTCGGTGTCCATCATTTCTATTATAATATATATAGTTTTTATTTCTTTAAATACTTTTTTACAAGAAATAAAATTAAATATTGAAATATAATTATAACATATAATATTTTACATGTTATTATTATAGTATGATTATAATTTAAGTTCAGGATAATAAGTTAATTGATGATTATTAAATTGTGTAAATATCTTACGTTTGTCATGCATCAGTTCAAAAATAATATTAATAGTTTTCACGGTATTTTGAACATTAAACTTATTGCTTTCAATATATGATTTAATGTCTTCTTTTAAATCAGACCCCTCTCTTCTACGATGTAACAACATCCATAAAATGTGGTCAATCAGTTCATACCTTTTCTTACTGATTTTGAGAAATGCTCTAACATAACTATAAGGTGGTCTTTGATACACAGTTAGAAATATTATAATGTTGTCTTCAACATTTCTATTATGTCTTCTTTTCAGATTTAAATGACATCTGATTAATTCTTGATTATCTCTCCATTCCTGACAAATTTCACATTCATCTTCTTCACTCAAAGCATAACCGATAATATGATTAACTATTCCATTAGGTAAATTCAATTTATACAATTCCATGTTTTCTTTTTTTAAGTGGCAACAATCATAGCATTTTTTATTGATATAATTATTGATTTCGGTTTCCATCATTTCTATTATAATATATATAGTTTTTATTTCTTTAAATACTTTTTTCCAAGAAATAAATTTATACCTTTAATAACTCATGTCTCAAAAATGCCCTGTCATAATTTTCAATATAATAATATTCCTGTCCTAACTTCTTTTCAATCTTTGCTATTTTGTAGGTTTGTTTAGTCCATACTCCTACTCTCTCCTTTTCATTTGGTCTCCTTTTCCTGAATATCTTAACTTCATTTCCTACATTTAAATCTGGATAAACTCTATTTCTTTTGGCTTTCATACCTAAATTTAAACTCACTTCTAATTGGTGTTTAGGCTTTCTTGCTTCTGACGGTGTTAAGCCGTGCGAAGTGTGCTTTATTCCATTGTTATAAGTTAATATAATCTCGTGTATGTAGTCTGTCCATTGAATAGCCTTTCCTTTTTTCTCATCGTTTTCAACCCTCTTATACAAGCTATCTTTAAACGTCCTTATCGCCCTCTCCGCGAATGCTGGGTGTCCTCTGGTTCTGTGCAACTCTATTTTTTCACCCTTCAAAAAATCTATAACACTTTGATTATTATAAGCTCCTTCATCGTCAATATAAATTAGTTTGGGCTTTCCATCCATTTTTTTAATACATTCCATCAGTCCTGCTAAAATGTCCGCTGGCTGTTTTGACATAAGCGGGACAACAACCATATACTTAGAAAATATGTCAATACACATCATGCCAACTTTCATTTTTTGTTTAGGGATATCATTAATGAAAAATAAATCAATTTGAAACTCATAATATGCGTTAGGAGCTACAAATGAATTCTGTCCTCTTGGCTTGGCTTTCTGTTCTACATTCTTCCTAAAAAACTCATTAATATCGTTTATAGTTATTGTTTTATCCTTTTGTCTTGCTTCTTGTAAAGTGCGGTTCTTTGACCCGAAGCCTCCCTTATCATAATTAACATTATTAATAATATCTTGCTTAGATGCCATATAAAATAAGATAGATATTATTTTTCCCGGCGATTACAGTTTAAACAGTAAGATATACAGTTTTCCTTATGATGGGCATAATCGTTGTTTATTCTTTGGGCTGTCATATTGCTATTTATTACTCCATTATTTATTTCTATGTCAAAATCTGAACTGCATTTATTACATCTGGTATTAAGCCTGTCAAATAACCATTTGACATCAATATATTGTTTGTTGTCTATCTCTCTCTCTGCTTTCATGTCTTGTAATTTATATTGTTTAATCTTATGTTCTAAATATCTGGTTACTTGTGCTTCATTTAAATCAGTATCATCTACGTCTGCTTTGAAAAACTTGACTTTATTGATATCTCTGCATCTCGTGAGGGCTGTCCAAATCCACTCACGGCTGACCAAATGTGATTTATCCCATTCGTGTATAGTAATGCTTTTATCTAGAGAAGCCCCTTGAGACGAATGACATGTAGCACAATACGCATGTATAAAGTGCTTGTCTAAAGTCGTGGTGTTTGTCATGAATATAGTTTTACTTTTGATATCTTGGATTTCTACTTTCCAATCATCAATACTAATAATTTCATAAGTAATATTTACATTAAACACCTGCCCCATTTCCTTTTTATAAACTCTGCATATCACATGCTCTCCAATTTCATATTTATCTGTCTTTCCTAAATTATTTCTTACGGTCTTGCTTACCCATTTGCACCTAGCATTAGTATAGGCTATGTTATGCTCTCCTTCCATGATGTCGCTTGTAGTTTCAAAATGTTTATTTACTATTTCCTTAATGGGCAGTTTATTTTTCCAAATGTCATTATATATATCATTCAATTTAATTTTATCTTCTTCTGTCTTAAGTCTCTTAGATATCTTAAGATAAATCTTATATTTAAATATTTGATTAAGACAGTTGTTTAAATATGTCTCGTGGTGCTGGATGTTAGTTAAATCAGCTATAGGTTTCAACTGCTTCCCGTCAGCAGTTCCTATAATTATCTTCTCTGGGTACGTATCCTTAAACTCCCTAACTCTGTTCAAAATATAATTGCCCGCCATACCTAGCTCATCAAACACAATACAATTATAATCAGAATGGTCAAATGTCGGTAGTCTTTCTCCAGCTTCTATTGGAATACTGAAAAACTTGTTTAATGTTACGGCGTCGGCTTCGGTTTCTTGCTTCTGCTTGTTATTAGAACATACGAATAACACATTATAACCTAGATTT